AATTATTACTACTTAAGTGTCTCTTCTTAACAGCGCTATAGTTAGCGTAAAAGAGATTCTTGCTTATTAAAGAGGTTCTAATAGTGTAATAGACGCTATAGTGTTTCTTGTAGAGGTAAAATAGCCTTAATAATACTTAACTTAGTTAGTAGTCTACTAGGTTGTAGTAGGCTAAGTAAACTCCTATAATAGTAAGCCTTGTTAATTACTAGTTATTAGTAATAATTAACTATTAATTAATGTTAGTTTTTACTAGGTAATTAATAGGATATCCTTATCTTATAATATTATAAAGGTTAAGAAAAGGTAGTTAATTAGTTATTATTAATAGTTGTTATTATAAGGTAAAGTAAGTGCGCAAGTGTAGTAGCACCCTTGCCTATAGGCAAGGGTGGAGAATACTGCTAGTAGGCAGTGTATTACATGACCTACTGCCTCTAGCTATATTACCTATATACTAACAGATATACTTCTTGTTTATCTAAAGAGCTTAGACTATATTATTAAACTATATAAATTAGTAGAACTTTATAACTTAAAACTTACTTTTTTTTACCTTCTAAAGCAAAGATAAATAATTTAAAGTAATAGTACTAATAAAAAGGTTCTACTAAATAAGCTTGTTTATAGTAATAAGTTACTACTAATTAAAGTTAAGAATATATAAAATAGATATACTATAAGGTTCTTTTAACTAAGAGAACTTATACTTATACCTTATAACTAAAAAAAGGTTAGTAATATATTTTTTATTAAATATTAATAGTAATCTAGGTAAATAAACCCTTTAGAAGACAGCTTCTTATTATTAAGGCAAGGTTTTAATTTAGTAAGACCTTCCCTAAAGCTTTATAGATTTAACCTCTTCTATAAAGGCAGTAACTTTAGCTATAGCCTTAAAGAAGATAGTATAATTAAAATAAATTAAGTAAATAACCTTAATAAGAAAGTAATCTATACTTATATAGTAAATATAAAAAATATAGTATATCCTTTTACTAGGTTAATTAATAACCTATAGAGATTAGTGCTATAGGGTAAGTTTAGTAAAAAAGTACTACTTATTAGTTTAGTTAACTTTATATTAGGGGGCAGCCTTTGCCTTAGATTCTCTTGTCTTATAAAGAATAAAGCTACCCTAGAACAGTAGAAGAACTAGTCTTTTATAGCTACTTAAAGGTCCTTTATTAACGTTTATTAACTAAAGTTTAGGTTACTTAAAAATACTATAGACATTATATAAACTAAGATAAAGTATAATAAAGATATATTAAGCTAGCTAATTTATACTATTATTAGCCTTAGTTATTAAGCTTACTTTTCTATAATAGATTCCTAGGTATATAGTTTACCTTAGAGTCTTAGTTATATCTTCTTATACTTTACTACACTAGGCCTTAAGCCTACTAAAGTACTAGTGTAGTTATATTTATATTATAATTCTAATAAATATTATAAGATATTAGGTTAAATACTAAGTAGTAAGTTAATAGTAAAGTACCTTAAAAACCTAATAATATTGAAGTTTAGAAGTATAGCTAAGGCTATAGTAGACCTACTAGATATAATAGATAGTAAGGTAGACTACTATATAAACTTCTCTAACTACTAGATAGTATATAGTATTATAAGACTAGCTAGGGTATAACCTAGTGTAATATACTAATGCACCCATAGGGTATAAACTTTTAAATAATATAGGATAATAGTAAAAGTATAATAATAATAGCTAACAGGGGATTATTTCTTAGTAAAGGTAAAAGAGTATTATCTTTAACTTCTTAGGCTTAAGGCTATATATTTCTATATAGTGTTATATAGATAGTTACTATAATAGTGTTACTAATAGATAAATATATTAGTTATATTATAGATTAGAGCTAGAATTATATTCTAAGCGTTATAGAAGTCTAAAAAGGGGTAAAAAAGGAAAAAGGAGTAAAGTAAGAAGACAAGAGAATAAGGTATAGAATAATTTAGTTTAGAATTAGAAAAAAGTCTATATTCTAAAATAATATTTTTAGAAATTAGCAAGGATATAGAATATATATTTTATAGAAACAGAATAACTAAGGGGCGCCTTTTATAGGGGTCCTAGGCAGCGCGTAAGCAAGAGCAAGGCCGCCCTTCTAGGCAAAGGCAAGGCTAACCTTCTAACTATAATACCCTCTTTATTTAGGCCTTTAGTAGTACCTCTTTTAACATACGTTAGGATAAAGACAAAAATAACTTTATTTTCTACACTAAGTAGGCTACAAGAGTAGGCATCTTATAAAGCAGATGTTAATTTATTTATATAGTAGGCCTTACTAAGCCTATACTCTCTTTATTTAACCTATCTTTAGTCTTTCCTTTAGTATAATCTTATTATATATCTTATCCTATAGCTAGAGCAGTAGGCACAAGGGATAGCTATATATATAGGTAGACTAATATTATTATAATTATAGAGTTATTATACTATACTAATAGTATATAGTGTTTTAAGCAAAGGTAGAGAGCCTAGAGGAGGAGGTTATATAAGGCAAAGGCAAAGTAAATAAGAAAACCTAGGGTTAGGGAACTCCTATGTAAATAGTTAAGGTTATAGGAGTCTAAGTAGGTTAGGGTTAAAGATATAGCAGAAGGCTAGGGTTTAAGAGGTGACTTTACTATATTATAGTGCTCTCTGCTACTAGTATATATTATTTATATACTATAGCGTTAGTAATTAACAGGAGTTAAGTTTATTATAACAGGGGGGTTAAGTTTATTTAGATAAGAGAGTAAGGGAGAGAGAAGAGGGGGTAAAGGCAATAATTAAAGAGGAAAAGGTCAAGGTCAAGAAGAAGGAAGAGGGACAAGGTCAAAGAGGAAGGCAAGGGTTAGGGGTAGAGAGAAGGAGGAGGGTCAGAGGCACAAAGAAAGAAAAGGGTCAGGGTTAGACAGGAGGAAAAGGGTCAAGGCTAGAGAGGAAGGAAAGGGCCAGGGGTAGAGAGAGAGAAAACAGTTAAAGTTACAAAGAGAAAGCAAGAGTAAGGACTAAAAAGGTAGTTTAAATTAAGTTATAGTAGTATATATTTATAAAGACAAGTGTATACAAGGCAAAGGTTAATATAGAGATTAAGGGAATAGGCAGAGGTATAAGGCGTAGAGAAGACAAGGATAAGGATAAAAAAGGAAAAGTATAAGAAGAGAGAGAAAAGAAAGAAAAAAGGAGCAGAAAAAAAAAAGGAGGATACAGAAGAGATGTGTAGGTGTAGAGACAGGAAAAAGAAAAGGGGGTAAGAAAACAAATAGGGAGAAGGACAAGAAAAGACAGGAGAGGGCACAGATATAAGGTAGAGTTATAGAGAAGGGAGAGGGCAAGGTAGTAGAAAAGAAGGATAAGATTAGAGAGTAGGGGCAGTTAGAAGGGCAGTAGGATATATAGAGTAATAGAGATAGAAAGCAAGGTAGAGTTATAGGGACAAGGAAGCAAAAGAGGACAAGAAGAAGAAGATACAAGAGGGCAAAGAACAGCAGTAAGGGTTAGAGAATACAAGCAAGGTTAGGGTTAGAGAGGAAGCAAGGGGTCAGGGTTAAAGAGGAAGGGTAGGGTCAGGGTGAAAGAGGAAGGGTAGGGTCAGGGTTAGAGAGGAAGGAAAGGGTCAGGGTAAGAGAGAGAGGAAAAGGGATAGGGAGCAACAGGCAGGGTTAGGATCTTCGGCATCAGAAAAAGGATATAGCATAGGAATATATAGATAATCTAGGACCTGCAGTTGTTAACTATTTAACTTAACTTTGGCCTTGAGGTTGGTTGGTTGAAGTGAAGCTATTTGTAAAGTTGGTTAGTTGGTTGAGTAAGTTAGTTAGTTGGGTTAATCTAAATAAAGCGCTGCACCTATGACTGCAGAAGCCCTACTAGAGGGTAGTATTTGTACAAGAGCGAATGAAGTGCACATGAAAAGCTTTAGAGAGCGGATTGTCCATGAACAATAATAGTACAACTATACCCGCCTAGCGGATTGCTGCTCATGACGACACTTCGATATTTAGGTTAGGCGTGATTTATGGCTGTTGGTTATTAGTCACAGGTTGAATGAACAATACCCTGATGTAACGTTGTATTAACGTGATGATATTCATGGGTGGAGGTTATTGTATCGATATTACAAGAGGGTTGTGATACGGTTAACTGTATGTATTAGTAGGCAAGTGACGAATAAGGGGTTCTGGTTTAATTATGCGTAAAGAGGAAGTGTAACTATCGTGAGCCGCCTGGTTGAATAGGCGGTGAAATCCATCGCTTGCCGCGGTGGATACCGCGGCGAAACCACGGGTAATACCGTGGTGGGTTATCGGGGATAAGCCCGTTAAACCCGATGGACTTAGCGATGCCTAGCATCGCAACAGATAGTTTGAAAAAAGGGATGCTCTTGAGGATGCGGGATTTTCGGGTGGTTCGGAAGTAGGGGTGGTTCCAATGTGAGGTGGGTGGGTTACTGCTTGTCTATATCTATATAAACCTAAGGGTATCCGTACTGTATTAATCTAATGTAAATAGTAGTTCAGTCTAGCTATTCTAGTTCTAAGTTGTGTAAGAGTGGTTGCTGTAATGGTTCAAGGCGAGCATATTTGCAACTGGCTATGGCGACTACGTACGAGTATCCTCAGATGAGGAGTAGAAGGGAAAAACAGTGAACCTCTGCCTCACCGCTGGTCTGATCAGGGCCACGACGCACCGGCCATCGGATTGTCGGCATCGTGGGTTCCGCGGTGGGCCTGATCAGGGATGGCTCATGGCCGCGATATCCAGTAAGACCTGATACGGGCCTAGCCCGTTACAATAATAGCTTTATAAAACTTAGTAAAACTTATATATATAGCTAGAATAAGAGTAAGCTATATATGTATTGCCTTTCTCTATTTTTATTATGATCTATTATAAAGATATAAAGTGCTATAAAAGCGATTTTCGGTGTAAAAGGTGGACCGAAAGTAGGTATGTTGATTCAAAACCAGCTCATGATTTGGTCTGTGCTGCATAGAGGAAGGGTGAAGTCCTTTCACAACCCATACTCTGTGGCCTCTGATGCTAATTGGAGCTGCTCGCTTCGCCCTCGCGTCTTTGATGCTCGAACCAAGTTGTTGCGCCACTAGGTTTGATGCCCGTCTCCGCACTTCTTGTCCAGCTTTACTGTATCCCAGGGTTGCGCATTGGCAACTCAGGATTACTTCATGCTTCAAGATAGCTAAGATGTTTTCCGTTAAGTCGTGGGGGGCTTCGACGGCTTCATTTCTTCTTATCTCATCTAATGCCTGCAAGTCGTCTGTTACGGTCAGGTATCCTTCAGTGGTGTTGTCTGGTGAGAGACGTTGAGGCGATTACTAAACAACAGTGTAAGGGTCTTGCTGGCTTGCTGGTAATCTTGCTGGTCAAGGTATACGGTGATCAATCGTATAACTAACAAAGGTAGAGGCTTGGGTGTTTTAGACACAACTGAAGAGATAGATGAAAGCTTCTTTTATCAAGAATGATACGAAGTTGATTGCTGAAGAGCTATGGGAGTCTGTCCTTGAGTGCTTCCAAGTCCATCCTATATACAAGTCCTGACTCCTGTTGGTGTGCCTGGGACCGATATCTCAATGTCGGTCCTTCATCATGGACCGCCCCTGGCATGTCGGTCCATGTCCTGGGACCGCTTATCGTTTGTCGGTCCTTCTTATCTTCACGTGACTTGTACCATAGTTCTTCCGATCCGAGAGGTGAGTCTGACGTGTTTCCGTGCAGCGTGCATATATCCTTGGTGGTAGCCGCCAGGCGCCCGTGGGGCGACCCTGGCCCTGTCATGCTTGTTGGGTCGTAACATCGTCATCGCTAAAAAAGCTGCAGGCGTCAAGAATGGGAACTTGAGGAAACGAGAGTTGGGAGGTAGCGAGCTGTTCAGATATCCAATTGAGTGTAGTTATAGCTCTTGATCATTTCCACAAACACCATGTCGTGCGTGTTGGATGGGTTTTGCAGCAGGATGAGTGGCAACTGACGCCAGCCTTGCAGAAGGCGGCTGAAGTTGTTCCACACCTCGGGCCTGGTTCCCCATCGATCCAGAAACTCTCAAGCCGGTGCAAAACAGGGGTGGTCTTCCGTTATGAGCTCCCACTCGGACGTTTTCCGCAAGTTCGGTTCTATTACATGGTGAATGATATGCGCACGTGTACTGGGAGCATCTAGTATTGACAGCCCAACGAGTGATTTGGTGATATTCAGGGTCTGAGCTAAGTGGCAATACTGTGTTAATGTTCTTTTCCACACAAAAATGGCCTGGCTGACATAGTGTGTGTTAGGCCTATCCCAGCACATTCATTACAGCAATAGTCGCACTATGCATCGGACTATAATGTCTTACACAAGCATGACTAAGTCTACTAAGGATATGCCAGCATAGGGGATCGTCCACTCACTATATAGATAGATGGGATATTCCCATATTCCTACATTCCACATACTCATCAATCCATCTTCATTGACCCCCTACCTTCGTATGAGCCTGTCAGCTGCTTCCCGACATTATGTATTGATTTCTGTCGATAACTTGTCCAAATAATTGATTGTTTTGGTGAGAAATCAATAACAAAAAGAGGACAGTAGGACCAGGTGTGACACCCCTTTTTTCGCCCCCTCCTTGGAGAGGGTGTTTAACTTTGACCAAAACCTAGCACCTCTGGGTAATTATTAGTCAAAACACTTATCCCAGTGCCCTCCACTCCTCGCGAATTCCAAGCTTTCCACGAACTGCCCTAGCTTGCACCGGCCGAGCTTATCAACGTCGCAACCTGATAGCGGCATCACCCGATCGTTGATTAGCACCCGGACCATCTCCTCATCCGTCTCGCCGCTACACTTCATCTTCTCTACATACATACGCGATGCGAACGGAATTAACCTGCTAGCTGAGAAACCCCCAGCCTTTGCTATTGGTGTCCTCTCCGTCTTACTCAGTGGCTTTGCTTTATCAAATAGTCCCAGCGCACTAAAAATAGCCACCATAACGTTACCCCGGGTAAAGTCAGCGTATATCTTCTTATTAAGTGGGAATGTTGCTGGATCTCCAGTAAGCGTTGAGTTGGTTGATGTATGGTCGACCACTGGCTGTTGCGTTAACCGCGCAATGAGCTCATTAGTAAAGCCTACCCCCTGTGTTGGACCTAGCGAGTTGCCTAAACTCCATGCATAATATTTGCCAAGTGTCTCAGAGTATTCGTAGTTCTTAAACTCCTCTTTTGTAAAGAGCTTACAGACTTCTGACTCTATACCGTTGACTACTGTGTTCGTTGGGCACAGTAACATTAAGAGCACAGTATCAGCAGCTGTGAGATGAGCCCCAGGCAGCATCTTATTTAGCCGTGCTGTGATTGGCCGTGTATATTTTATACGCCACTGAGCTTGCGCTTCCTCAGTAAGATCATCAAAGTCTCTTTCAAACGCTGTACACACGCCGTGGTGCAGTGTATTATTAAAGCCTTTCCTTATGGGCATAATGTGGATGCGCCCAGGAGATCTGTTGTCTAGTTTACGGGAGCTGTCGCCTGTCTTAGAGCGATAGAAACCTTGCTTCCATAAAGAGGCTGTCTGGACCACGCGGTCCTCGCTAATGCTTCGAATAAAGGGATCGTTGTCGGTGGCCAGATCCTGGTACCGTGCGTAGAATGATCTACCTGAGTCAATAGACTCCTTCTTGCCAAACGGTGTAAGCTGGTCCACGTCTTGGGGTAACTTGTAGGTCTTTAAGACCTCAAGGCCATCGCCGTAGTGGGAGACTTTGGTCCGGATGCGCTCGATAAGTGCTTTGAACTTCCGCATCTTAGTGGCCTTTGGATTGCGAGAACCGTGCCGGCTCAGGACTTGTACGAAGGTGATCTGGCAGCCTGCAGGTATAGCGGCGTCGATTTCTGACGGCACCGAGAAGAAGGGGGTGAGGGTGCCCCAGAAGTGAGACTTAGTCTCAGTTCCCCTACGTATTTTAGGGTCAAGTGCCTGGCCACTGATAGAACTGTTTATACGCTGTAAGTCTGGTGTAATACTAGTGAATATTTGAATTAGTGCACGACTTACCTAAAGCCTAGGGCTAACAAAAGGAGCAGGACTAAAGCCATAGCGCCAATTTCGAGGTTTAGGGATTATTAGGATCTGTGATTTCCTACACGCGTGACGCTTTAAACGCCTTTAACGGTTTTTTATATGTTTTTTATCCCCAAGGAAGAGATATATCTTTGATGGGCTTTTAGGCTAAAGCTACAATATTAGTAACACTTCTCATGACAGATTAAGCCAATTGGCCAACAATGATCAAAATAGATTAGGGGTCCCAAGTGGTTCTCTAAGTCGGTCATCTGCGGCTAGTTTAGTATCCCTGTGTTCCCTTAATCTATTCATTTACTGGTATACTACGTAGTAGATATCTTGTTAATATAAAGGTACAGATACAGGGTTTGATTGGAATACATAGTATATGAAGCTAATCTAATCTTAATGAAATCACAAAATTGAATTCACCAAGTATGCGTAGTGATACGATGCACAGATGTTCGTGTCTCGTGCGAGGCTAGCTCTTTGTAGCGGAATATCAATACATTCTTGGTTTCTCATTGGCTCATTCTATCCGAAAAATGGGGCGAGTCCACCGCCGTCTCTGCGCCAATCGCCGACGTTTCTCCGCCGGCACCCTTGCGGATGGGACTGCTCTTATCAAATGTAGTAGAAT